CCTCCCCCCTGCACCGCTGTCCGGCCTCAGGCCCCTCCCCCGGAGGGTCTCCCTCCCTCTCTGAGGCCTCCCACCCATGTTCCCTGCCCCTCAGGCTGTGTGCTGTGACCTGGCCAGTCATGCTGGCTTCATGTGGGCCCCACACTGGGCCCCCAGCCAGAGCCCCAGGGCGCCCCTGCGCAAGGAGCTATGACAGAAATCCCTCCCGACCACAGGCCTGTGGCCTCAAAGGGACAAGAAAGGGCCCAGCCTTCCCGTAGAACTGGGTTCTCCGTGGAGGGGGCCGGACATTCTGCACACTGCCTCACTCACTGCTTCATTCACCCGTCCAGCGCTGACCGAGGGTCTGTCCTATGCCGGGCTACCTCCTCCCCCCTCTTCTGGGCCAGGCTGCCCTTCCTTGGAGGGCACCCTCTGCCCACCGCAACTTTCCACACGCCACCTGGTCAGACAGCTGTATCTGCCTGAACATTCCTGGAGCTTCCCCCTTGTCCCCCATGTCCCCTCTGTCAACCCCCACCCTCCACGTTGTCCCCATTCCCCCATGTCCCTTCTCCATCCCTCTGTCCCTCACATCCCCCTCCGTTCCCCCACTCTCTCTGGCTTAGCTCATCAGCCCCTAGGTTTTCTCTCCTGCGTGTCCCCGTCTGCCTCGTGTTCACGTCTCGTCTGTTCCGCCCCAGCCCCCAGGATCTCTGACATCCTGAACACGGTGAGGAGGGGCTCGGGGACCCCAGAAGCCCAGGGCCCCCCACCCTGCCTGTCTCCGGCTCTCCCAGGCCCCCCACCCACCCCGTGTAAGTAGCACCTTGAGTGGCCCCGCTGGCGGCTCCCGGGGCTCGCAGGGTTATTGAGACCCCCGGCTGCAGTGCACTGCCCCCTGGCTCTGGGAAGGGGCCAGCTGGCAGGTGGGGGGACGTGGGGCACAGGGAATTCCACACGAAGGTGCCGTTTGGCTCAAGATGTGCACATGTGGAAAAAGAATCAGGAAGCAGGTTCTTGGGAACTAGAGTCTCACACTCGTGATCTGCAAGCTGGGTTTCTTCTTTAGTGACGCTGGTGCGTGTGCAGGCTGGGGTCCTGTCTGGAGTTATGCCCTGGCTCGGGGTGAGGGTGGAGGGGCAGTTCTCTTGGGTGGTGATGCTGGGCACTGAGGGGCAAGGAAGGGAAAGGCCGTCTCCAGCTGAGGGCCCCGGCGGGGCGGGCGCTGGGCTGGGCCGCCTCCCCAGGCAGGGAGGAGCCGCCGCCGCTGCTGCAGCCCATCTGCCGACTGCCGGCCAGTATCGCTTACAGGGATGGATGACACCCCAGGGCGGCAGCCACCCCCACCTCCAGGGAGATACCGGGCTCTCAGAGGAGAGGCTGCGGGGCCAGGGGCCGGGCATGGCAGGGGAGAGGCTGGGTGAGTGCTGGACCCGGAAGGGCACCGACCCCTGCCCACCCACTGCAGGCCAGGTCTGAGGGTGGGAGGGAGGCCCCGGGAGCAGTAGGGGAGGAGTAGGGGGATCTGTGGCCCGAATCTGAACTTGGTTGAGGGGCGTGGAGGAGAGTCTCAGAGGTGAGAGACCAGACTTGCCGGTGGGCGCACAGCAGGGCCTGTGGGAGTGGTCAGAGCCCCTTCCCCATTTGTGCAGCATCTTACCCTAGTTTAGAGGCCTCCATGTCCATATCTCCCAGACCCTCACGGCCCCTGCTTTCACAAATAAAGAAGCTGAGGGTAGAAGACATGGAGAAGGTACCCAAGGA